TTCTGTATAGAACCGGTTTATTTTTTTTTTTTTTTGCGGTATAGAGACAATTTACGTAAAAAATGTGAAATCACATTCACGTCTATTTTCCGTTTCCGTTCAACTTTTCTCTTCGAGTTCTCCCTTTTATACAGCTTCCTCTTCTCTCTTTGGAGAGAAGCCGCGTCTTTTATCAAAGGATTCGACTGTTTGAAATGTACATTGCATGGGTACGGAGAATTCGCAGCGTAACGTGACATTTAAATTTTACGTTGACGTTTCTCTCGCTTTTATAGGATTTTATGTATTTAAAGAATATGTACATTTAACATGTATATTTACAAAGAATATGTTTCACTTTCCAATATTTTTAAATCTGTACACGGAAAGTATATGGTTTTGCTAACGTATTTAAGAAGTTAGATACAAATCTGAAAATAATTTTATTGGACCATCAAAATAATTATGTAAGATGCTCAAACTTATATAGTTGCTAGAATGTCAAAATTTTTTGCAGCATTACTTATACTTGAAATGTGTACGTAATTATTTTGATCGTTCAACAAAATTATTTTCAAATCGGTATCTAGTTAAATTTTTGGATACTTTAGCAAAAATTCTTTCCGTATTCTTTAAACGCTATAAATTCCAAGACCAGGTCGTTAAATTACTCTAATTCACAAGATTTTGTGTAACAGTGAAGAAGATATGAAGACTATTTCTAGGATAATTTTCGATGCTGATTTCGAATCTGTCATCGAAATGTTTCCATCAGATCTGATTTTTGAGATATAAGAAAAAAATATATATTTTTTTCAATATGTAGTTGTTTTAAAATTATAAAACAACAAATCAGAAGTGTTGAGAGATTAATTTTTGTTCTTTTATATGACTTTAAGTCAATTTCACGTATTAGAGTCTAGCAAAATAATCGCCATGTTCTATTATTCTAATATCCGTAATAATATTATAATATTTCTCAATTATCATCAAATCCTGGTGAAAATGTTCACTTTGTTCATCACTTGTCGCATCTAGAGATACTCTATAACAGAGTGTGGCCACGAGAAATTTTGTCAAAATCAGAGCAAAAAAGGATGTATGTATTGTCTTTTTCATATCTCATTTTAACTTATACTATCTTACTCATTCTAAATTACTGAAACTGATAAAAATAGTGGGCTGTTTAAAAGTTTGCCGTGGCCAAACTCTGTTATAGGATCTCTAATCGCACTTAAATTCGGAAAGAAACGATATATCTATCTTAAAAATTGATACATCTTAAAACTGACATGCTGTATTTCAAAACTTTGATGGATATTTCAAAACCTGATGGAATTTGTTTGCTGATAGATTCAAATTTAGCGCACAAAAATACGTTAAAAGAATTGTTTCCTTCTCTCGTATTAAAAATTAATCAAAACTTGTAAACTAGTGTTACAGGAGACGAAAAGCGTAATTTTCTCGATCAGATGCGTCGACGGTGCGTTAAAACAATGCTCTGATCAAGTTTGATTTGCGCCATGCTTGTAACGTGAATTTTGTAGCACAAATGCAGGGAATTTAAATTACGACGCGGACGTGGAAAAAAAGCTGCGATCAAGTGATTCAGCAGGTCAATATTAACAGACTTCCTGGATCTATTCACGATCGCATCGATATTGAATCGATCGACATAGGTCGATTAAAATAACGTGATTAACGCGCGACTAATCGCTCAACGATTATCTCATCAAGCGCGCCCAACAGCAAATATGCAATTCACTGACGTATATCAGTCTACATCACACGAAGGTTACGAACATTTTTAACTCTCATCTCTATAATCGCGAGCGGCTTGTTAGCACATTTGACGAGTTCTTAACACATTTGCATATTTCACGAGAGGTGGATGCTAAGAAACGTAGAAATACGGAATTTTTATCATTTTACTTCGTACGAACGAATGAGAGTTATGTTTTAATTGTGATTATATTCACAGTTTGTATAAGTTATTCAATAATTATCATATTTATTTCAGTTATAATTTTAATTAGCTATAATTATAATTTTAATTGTTTTTTTAATTAGCCGCTTTGAAGTCGATGCTCTCTCAAAGAATATTTAATGATAGACATAATTATATAGAGTAGGCATATATATATATATATATAAAAGAGAATTATTTTAAATTTACGCTATCCTGTTCCTATGCCGATATTTTTCGGCATCTTAGATATTTAATTTTCCTCCAGCGAAAATATTTTGCGATCCCGTAATACTCTTTTTTTTCTCTCTCTTCTTTCTTTATTATTTAAAACATGCGAAACGACACGTCGAGCAGCTACCGTCGACATTCCACAAATGGCATTCCGGGACAATCAAAGACACCGATCCAAGCCGCATTAACATGCGGTATGACGTATTCTCCGCAACAGAGATACGGATTCGCAATTGAAGTGACTGTAACGGATGACAAAAGCCTTTCGGGTTCTCTCGAAGATCTCCATTACGCGAATGCGACTTGCATCGCAAACTTGCGAACCGCGGGGTGCATTATACCTCTTCGCCGAGCGCCGGTGCAGGTATTGTGCAGCGGTGCACACCCGACACCTGTTGCCTTGGCCGTGCTCTAGGGAAAACGAGATGCCTGCTGGGAGAGAGAACGCAGAGAAAGAGAGCGAGCGAGAGGGTCGTAACGACGCGTATAAATTACGATCGCTCGTTCGGCGGCGTGTGTTCACCCCTTTTACGAGCGCGGTGCTCCCGACTCCTCAACGTCCCCCTTGACTGATTTACCGCTGCGGTACCCGCGAATTATCTCTCTCCTTTTCGCTCTTTTTGCGATATTCGCCATTCTTAGAGAGTATTTTCCGCGGCTTCGTTCGCGAAAAGGGAGGCGGCGCACTGTAATTTATAACGCGAACGATCGCGAGCGATCTCCGTGGGGCTGAACTCAGAAAGTCTGAAACTTGCAGTAAATTTGTTGAACAGGTCATATACCAATACTGGATACTAACTTAAAAACACATAAAAAGTGTGCGGCATACATAATAATATAATTACGGTATAAAATGCAAAATGTATTCTACGGTGTGCGGGTACCGATTGATTTTTTTTTTTATAACCAACGATGAAAGAACACTTCCTTAAGAATTAAGAAAATTGAAACTCCCTCAATCGAGAATCTGAAGCTGCCTGTTACTATTAAATTATATTCATTAAAAAAAAAAAAGCTAAAAAAATTGATTAAAATGAATATTTTAAGGATGTTTTGTATAATATCTAAAAATATTAGTCAAAAAAATGTTTGTCTTGTCACAAACACGCTTTGAGGTAACTGCAAAAAACAGAATAAATAAATTAGCTTATAATGACTTTATGCAGCAAAATGATATTTTGTTGCAGTTTTAGACATATAGACTTTTAAATGAATGGATCCAAATGAACTTTTGTACGAATATTTATTAGTATATAAAAATAAAAATATTTATTAGTGTATATAAAAAATTTGATTTAATTCGTATGCTATGACTTCAGATATGTAAATAAGTACTTTTGTTTAAAAAAACGTGATTTTACAAAAAAATCAAGGCAAACAAAATAATTAATTAACCTTTAAATCATTAAGAAGACTTAAATTTTTGCACAAATATTCAGACTTAATAATAGAATAATTTATATTAAAATATTTTTTATTTTTTATTTTATTAAATATTTTATATTTTTGGTAATGCTTTTGTTTATCCATAAATAATCACATCGAAAAATCATGACTAATTTAATTTTTTATAGAATTTTGCGGTGATATAGCAAGCGAAGCATTTTGACGAAGAACTGGCAAAATTATTCTGTTTGAATGACCAGACGATGATGATTCCGTTGGCGAAAAAGTGGGCCAGTGGATCTTAATCGGTCCGCTATCTCCGAAACGTTGAACTCTTGTTAGCGCTTGGGTTATTTATGACAAGAGTATTATTTTCCCTCATTAGTCAGTGTAACTGTCTCCACGCTTGACTTTGTCACGCGTTATATACCCGCTCTTTATAGTCGCGCCGTCGCGATCTTAACTTGCGCTACATTCTAGCAGATTTACAACTGTCATACTCGCACGTTTTCACCGTCAGCGCGGCGAAAGAGTCTCTTTCGGTCCGTGATTCTGTAGAATTGGTCCCGAAGGACCCCGCCATTTTCTGTGACGCGAACGACATTAAATCGATGAAAAGTTACATGTCTGAAGTTGTGTGTTCAAGTCGAAAAATCATCATTTTATGGCTCTTATATTATAGAATCTTAATAGAATATTATATGCAATATATTACATACATTACATTTCAATATAATATTACAAGTATAGTGATATTTCTGAATTAATTGAATTGATCTTGAAAATACAGTTATTCAAATTTATTGGAATTCAAATTTTGCAAACATTATTCTCATGTTCTAATTTTACTTTTTCTTTCATCGAATATTTTTAATAATATTCAATGATGTGAGGAATTCTTTTTTTTATGGAACAGATTTTGGAACAGTTTTATTTCTAAACTAATCCTACACAGCTCACTTCATCCAAGGAATGTCTTGAGAATATTCTTTAGGCGTATTTAAAACGTCTCTTGATAGTCTGATATATACGTTTGATATATATTGTAGAATTAGCGCCTTTATTATGAAGAATCACTATGATGAGTTTTAATAATTCAAAAGTTTTAATAATCAAAAATTTACGTGAAAGACATTACTATCATAAAATCATTAAACATATATTTTAATATTTGAAATTATCATTTATGATAATATATTTATTTATTCGAATCATGCAAGTAAAATTAAACATTTAAATATATGAAGCAGAATATCGTTCTTTCATTAGATTAGCATTTTATTTCTCCTTGCAACGTTTTTTTTTTCTATTTGGATTCCATCGTCGTCGCGAGAAGATTAAATTCAAACCGTAACATGTCTTAAAAGAACCGGATCGGTGTGTCTTTCTCCATTCGAGTGCATGCGAGACATCGTCATATGATTTCTTGTTGCAGAATATGGGTATAAAAGATGAATTTCATCAGAGGAACATTTTGGTGTGCATCGAGGAACTCTGCAAAACGTTGCCACCGCCTCCGGTGGCGATGGAGACGATGGGTTCGACGCTCAACACGACGACGCCGACACCCGGCGTCGCCGTCGAATCGGCCTGTTCCCTCGGAGTCAACTATCCGGGCAACAACCTGGCCAATAACGCGCACAACCTCATGCCGCACAGCTTCAGCGTGTTGGAGAAGTGCGGCAAATGCCATAAATACCTCAGGGGCCTCTTACATCAGGGCTTCCTCTGCCAAGGTACGTTTCCGTCCTTTATCGACGTCGACCTTTGTTAAATCCTAATCCGCTGGGTATCTTTTTGAATAAATTGAACTTTACTGATGACGTGCGAAAGAGCTCGATTGAATCACTTCATGTATTTTAATTCCTTCGTGTTCGCCGACTTCCTTAGCGCTCTTGAAAGAATTACAAATTATATTGCTCTATTTCTAATCAATTCTTTAGATTAATGACCGTTCTTAATGAATTTATAACATGTGTATCTTTCAAAAATTACATAACCAGTAAAGATTTTTATATGAGAGTTGTCAAATTCCATCACAGTTAAATATCTAACATTCGTGTTTATTCTTGCATGACAATCGCTCTGAAATAAAATTCTGAAACCAGTACAAGTGAACTGGAAAAAAAAAAGGAAACTATGTGCGTTTTTCGCGTTGTTGATCTCGCGAATTTTCTACGTTGCGCAGATTGCGGGCTGGTCTCTCACAGGACGTGTTCAGCGACGGGTTTACCTTCCAATTGCATATCGGTCGACTCGGACAATCGTATCAGCAGGTTTACTTCAGGTAAGTCACGTCGCTCGGATTGCCGCAGTCGCCGTTGCAAATTTTACAACGTGGCACCGCCCATTAATCCTTCATCATGTCTCTAATGTATAGAACACGGAAAGACGCTGAAAAATTTAGTTGTCTCTTCAAAGGCGGGAGAGACATTGCGTCAGAAACACGATTGCTAGCATCGTAACCAGCTGCGTGGCAATATCGTATTCGAGTTACGAAGTTGACGGCAAGGACGCCCGTCCTGGCGCCTGGCCGCTCGCACCTCGTTATGATAACCTGGATCATTTTACAGAGGCTTGCATTTCATGGCTGACGGCTTTCTTCCATTGAAATCCCTCCGCGTCGTGGTCGCGTAGGAGTCGCCTCACTTGTTGGCATTTAATGATCCTTAACCGAGAATATGAGTTTCAAAATGAGTTTTGCAGGTCTCGCTTTGCAATGCGTTCTAGACTTCGCAAAAACTAATATCCATGATGTGACGTTGCAAGAATACGGCAGTCTTTCAGCGGATTAAATTTATTCCGATTCGATCTTTGCGATTGTACTTCCGCAACTCTGTCGACATTCGCATTTCCGTATACAAAACATTAAAGTATATTCGTTCCCAGAGTAATGAAACAGGGAGAAATCGATGTTAAGAGAGATTTTATCTCTTTTGTAAGATTTTTTTATACTTTGTGATATATATGTATTATTAAAAAAAGTATAAAATATATTTTATATATATATATATCGCTTCTTTGATAGAAAAATAACACTTTTCGAAATTAGTAATTTTTCTTAGGAAAAATTTTTTTAATTCTGAATTTTTGAACGTTTAAAAAAATGGCATAACACTAAATGCGACGTTTTTCTATAATTATTTTAGCGCCGATAACATTCCTTCTTCCAGTGTCTAAAAATTTTAAAAATATTTCTTTTCTATAAACAATTATTACGAACTTAAGTAGAAGATTTTTTTTGTTTTTTAGATGATAAATTGCGACGAAAATTACAAATGTATCGTTTCTCTAACAGAAAATATGTCTTCACAGTGTGTTGATTTCCATTGTGTGTTGATTTGTCCACTATCTCAAAAATACTATTTTTACACTTTTTGAGTTGTGTTTGATTTTTTTTATCAAGTTGTACTTTTTTACCAAACAAGCGAATATATATTATTATTTTATATACACATTTAAATACATTTTGTATAAAATATATTTCTGGGGAAAAATTAGAAGAAATTTAGAGAAAGCATTGTATTTTTTTAAATATTTTACATTTATAAATGACATTTCATTCGAGTTACAACTGTCAAGACACCTTGTCTTATCTACCGAGTAGTTTTTTTTACCAACAATTACTATTAGTTCTTCATTCTTGTACCGATAAACCGAGCTCATAGAAGACCGGAAATTTTCTTAAGTTACGCCCGGTCGCTAGTTAGAGGTGCGATGTGTGCCTTTGACGGCGAGAGATGGTTAAACGGCGCGAATATTCCCAGACGACGATAATCAGCAAAGACAACGTAAGCAAGGCTCAACGCTCGTGCCGTCAACGTGCGCCTCCAGCGATGCATTTAATTAACGCTGCACACGCCGCGGCGCGAATGACGGAATCGAATATTTGTGCATAGCAAAACCGCGAGTACGGCGCCAGCCTTCAGAGTACACACTGCGCGACGGTGCATCGATCGCTCGGAATTATCGTCCCGCTGATAACGTCGTTTGTCCGCGACGCCAATTCGTGGCTGCGACGAATAACGATAAGAGAATTGATATAATTTGATGATATTAATAGACTGGGTGCATTTCCGCGACAGTGGACAACTATCGGAAAGAGAATGAGAGTTTCGGGGGCGCTCCACGAGTACGCAGGACGTTAATTGCGCTTTGATTTCGTTATCCACTTCATCCGGAAATCTGTTGTGAGAGGAGAGATCGAATCTAATAAATTCTCGTTTTAATGACTTCGGAAAAACTATGGTTTTTTTTTTTTAGTAAGTTACCATATCTGAATCACAAGAAAAGAATACATCATACTTTTTGAAAAAAAGATCCAGAGGTGAAAAGAAAGGATATAATTTTTTGTGCGTTAAAAAATGTAGGTATTTAATAAAATGAAACGTCGAGAAAAATAATTTTTATTGACAATCTTGTTAATATAATTTTATAGATATAAAAAAATTTTAATTAACGACCAGAAGATTATGTATTTTTAAAGGAGTAACACTACTGCCGAGGGATCGTGGGAAATCTAATCCCGCGTTGAAGAAAAAAAAAATCACTCGCGATGCGCCGCACCTTTTTCGCGCGCGCGCGATTGTCGCGTCGGCTCCGGTTGATTTGTAGTAATTGGTGGCGTTTAATCGCTTATATACGCGCGGGCGAGTCGTCAGCACGACCCGGTCGAGCCACGCGCGCGTGGAGGTGCAACGATGGACAATTACGCTTCTCTGCCGAATAAAAATTCGAGTCACGTGCGGAGGCCGCGCGGCACTCGCGGTTGCGACTTCGACATTGACGATCCCGCACAAATTGCACCTGCCTCCGCGTCTGGAAAGTTGATTGAAAATGACGCGGCGATCGGCTTGAGTCTCTAATTGCATCTACTCGATGAGAGAAATATTTCTGACATTTGTGACTGTAATTGTATGGTAAAATATTACGATAACTTAATTTTTATCAGTCATTACTGTTATAATGTCAATAATAATAATTATACAGTTTTTGTATAGAACTATGTGATATTTATGTAATTCTATATAAAAAAAGAACGTACGGTTGGTTATAAAATTATAATTAGTTTCAAAGACAACTATGTGTTCTGTTTACATAAAACCATAAATATTATTATGCTAATATTATGGAGTAATAACTATAAAAATGAAGTTGCTAATAATTGTTATTTTTCTATGCAATTAATATTGTTCACGAGTACTAAAAACTTTTTTCTCAGTGCTTGTGGTATATTTTTGTAGCGCACTTCTGGTTACCTACCTACTTCTTGCGTTAATTGTACGCTGCAGAGAAATCATAACACGTAATTTTTATAATCTTCTTCCGGGTTTTTCCGATTTGTCAATTTGTCAAAATCCTAAATTGCTGAAATCTCAACAAAATTCAAGCACTAAATCAGCCTTGCGTGGTTTTTTTTGTAACATAATTACTCGCATAGGATATTTCTAATATTTCCGTTATATTTCAATTTTCATTATTTTCTTTACAATTTATACTTAAATAAAAATTGATATAATATTCTGTACATTCTTTAGATAAAAATAAATGTAATAAATCTTTTTTAATTTTTGTGAAACAATTTACATAAATGTACTCTCTAAAACTTTTAGACTGAATTGTCATTCCGAAGAGTGAAATCTTATTCTTATAGATTGAAAATTGAGCCACTCTTTTTCAAGACTGGCGCAATTTCCACTTTACAAAATGAGATTTCAATCCAAAAACTTTAGAGAGTAATGAAGTGTATAAGTAACATTTATATATTTAGCAAATTTATACAGGCTATCCTGAACATCCCGTGTAAGCAACGAAGGGTTAAAGCCGAGTCTTTCGAGGAAGCTGCAAATTGCGTCCGAAATCCGAATGCTTCGCGTATCTTACGTATTTACTCGTGCCATTGATTTATCGGAATACAATGGCACGATTCAGCGAGATTTCTCGTTACATGCATCGATGAGCAACATTCAGAATTCGTGATGAATATCGAATAGCCCGGCTGTGGCCTCCGCCTTACATCCGCGCATAAAATTCACGTGCGTGCCTACGTTCTCGTATAGATCGTGTTTTAATTCTGACTTTTTGTCCTCCCTCCCTTCTCTCTCTCTCTCTCTCTCTCTCTCTCTCTCCTTTTCGGTCACTCGTCCTCCAAAAGAACAAGAAGAAGATACGGTCATGAAGAAACAAGACGTCGCCGTCGCGGTCGTAAAAATAAATTTCTTTCCTCCTCCTCCTCTTGCCCCTCCTACACAATGTTCTCTCCGCTCGTTTTCTCTCTCTCTCTCTCTCTCTCGTCATAATGCACACGTCTTTGATTGTACAAGTGGCGTGTGTACGCGCGGGTATTCGCGAGAGACAGAGAAAGCGAGAGAGAAAACGGGATCGTGTCTGAAAATATGATCGCGCCGTATATCCTCGCGCGAAAATAAAGTCAAAGGTTCGTCAGCCGTAATAAAACGAAGAGGGGTAAAAAAAAAGAGAGGAAAGAGAGGAAGGAACGGAGAGACGATTGAAGAAAGGAGGCGCGGGCGGCCGTAGGCGATAAAACAACGAGGAGCGGCTTGTCCGCTTGAGCGCGAAAATCTGCGGGGTATCGTCAGGAATTCTTCTGCTCCGATAGTATTCCACGATCGCGGCGTTACGTAATTTCGTCGCTTTGTCCTCGCTGAATTTCGCGGCCTCATGGATAAAGAGAAGCGCTGCACTTGCTTCATCCATCGATCGATCGCGTCTCGCACGACGTGTCTCGATTCTAAAACGAGCTAAAAAGAGAAAGAATAAATGAAGTACGATATTATATGAAGGAATGTTTATTTAGCCGTAATTGATCACAATGTTGCGTTAGAGGGACGAAGGTTTTTTAGCTTTTATAAATTTCTCGTTTGGAAAGAGGCGAGTACCTCAGGCATGGCACAGCAGAGAATTTTGAAACGCGAGACGCATCTCAGGCTCGGCGCAGCGTGCCTAAGGTACGTCTCGCGTTTCAAAATTCTCTCCGGCGTAGTTCGTACCGGACGCGTAGCAAAGAATTCACGGAATCGCCACGAATGTTTGTCGCAATTTGCAGTGTTCGGCCTCGCGCTGTGCTCGCAATTCGACACCGCCAGCCGTGCGGCGCCGATTCTGGTGGAGCGATGTACCCGCGCCCTCGAGGAGCTGGCGTTCCCTAATGAGCAGATCCCCGAACTGCGACAGAAGCTGAACGAAGGTAAGACGGGCGCGCCGTGGCCGGCCGGCAGGTCGGATCGCGCGATCATGCGTGCTATAAATAGCCGGTAGTCGTGCCACGATGTTCGGCTCGCGGGTTGCAAAAATGTCGAGGCGCGCCACCAGATGCATGCTGCATTGTGGAGGACCCCCTCCATTCTGAGGGAGGGCGCCAGAAAAGCACGCTTATATTTTGCGCGACAGATCGAGATTTCAGGGACAACGAATGAGCGAGCTCCTTTCGCGCTTTGAAAGACAAAGATCCGGCTGCATTTAGCGATAAGCTAACATTTATACATATATAGCCTCGAAATTTCTTTTAATTTTGTTTCTCGCGACGTTGCACGGCGTATGAATTAGTTGTTTTCGGAATAATGTTAAGAAAACTTCTACATTTCATGAGAAAGACAGAGACTGCTGCTGTCTGCATTATATCGTATTATATTGTGCAGATTTAACTGCTGCAACATGTCAGTTGTCTGCCTAATATCGGGAAATTGCGTTCAACGAACTGAGAGTTTATCGACTAAATATATATTTGCTTATGATTATCATTTTAATTCATTTAAATATATTTTTTTCACAATTCTTTTAAAAAGATTAAACTGTAAAATTTAATAGAAGGAAAAAAGTTGGAATGCATAAATAGATAGTAATTTAAGTAGATTGTAGATAATATTTGGGATGAATGAAGCTTCTAATTAGAGATGTTCTTTTCGAAATTTCACAGTTGATTATTAATGTATTATTGACTAATCAAATAGTATTGGCAAAGAGAATATATACTTAATATGATCAAATTTCTTTTTTGTTATTTTCGTTTTACAATCGTTAAAAAATCTTTTCAAATTATTTTTTTATTGTAATGATTTTGTTAATATTTTTAAAACTCATCTTTTTTTTAGTTATGTTGATTTGATATTTTTTTATGAACTTGAATTAGTTTACGTTTGATAATAATTAATAGAGTAATGTTTGTTTAACTCATTCATAATAATAACTAAAAAGATTACATTTTTTGAGTTGTATCAGTTGAAGTAAACGCGATATAATCATATCAATGTAATTAATTAATTAATAATCGATACAATTATTATGTCTTTTAAGCAATTATCGATATGATTAGTATTTATTTTTTTGTGATGAACTGAACATAGAGCAACATTACATAATCTTTTCAGATGTCTGTAATGCGGATTTAAGTCCGTACACTCCCCAATGTATCGCCAGTGTCTTGAAAAAGTTTTTACGTGAATTGCCAGACCCAGTAATCCCGGTGCAATGGTATGACAGGTTTCTGGATGCGTCGAGTAAGTATATATTTCTTAATCAAATACTTTTTTTTTAAACCGGTTTAAATTATCAAATGTTTTATCAATGATTATAATTCGTCGTTTGATTCCGAAAGTTGTACGAATTTATTTTTATCTCACAGATATGAGAAGCGACGAGCAGTGCGCGACGCGTCTCAATCAATTAGTAGCGGAGCTACCGGAGCATCATCGTAGCACATTGTGCCATTTGATGGCACATTTCTGTCGCATCTGCCAGTTGCAGCACGGAAGGGGCTACACGGAACCACCGACCATCCTTGTACAAGTTCTCTGCCATATATTTCTCAGGCCGCCCTGGGAGCGAATCATGTGAGTGCCACGTGGATTCTTTTAGTCATAGGGGAAGAGTTGAGAGTAGAGCGTGGTTCACACGATCCCTTTTTTACTGGCGACGTACTAGTGGCTGTAAAAAAAAAACGGTATTTTCGAGGACGCTAGTAATAGATTGCTTTTCATCTCGTCAACTAGTGGGCTAATTAAATTAAAAGAATGTGACTTTCTAGTTTGCTAACATTGGGTTATTTAATTTTCTCTCGCAAAAAGCACCTTGTAGATTTCAGGATATAATTACATAACGATATAATACTGTCATATTTGCGATAAAAAAATTAACTGGTTTTACGACTATATTACTACTAATAGATAAGATTACTTGTCTGATAGAACACTCGTAATATGTCTTTGATTACGAAGAATTTAGCACTTTGCACTGCGCAATTTTACAGCCAAGTTGTTCACAACACGGAGGCACACATACGCATAATGGAATTGCTACTATTACACGGCGATTGGAGCGAGAGGCTACCGGAGTTTGCCAGTCCCCCGCAATTGCCGCCACGTAAAGTTTCGAGACCACAGTTTCCGATTTTGGATCCGTTCCCGGTTCTTGAGGACGAAACTGTAGACAAAACGGCACCTGGTACGGATACTGGCAAAGATCAACAGCAGCATAGGTGATCTTCAAATTCGATTCTGATTTCAATCCAAATCTTAATTTAAGTTAGAAGTTTCTAGTTCTAATTCCACATTAAACTTGAACTTTAATCTTTCTATCAATTTAACTTTAATCCTATACTTAGTTTTAATTCTTTTTTTCTTTTATAGTTAATTTCTAAGATTTATGATAATTATTTGTAATCATATGGTACAAATGACTAATTGTAAATATCGCCGAAAAAATTCTAGGCCGCGCACGCTACAGGAAGCTGAATGGTATTGGGGTGAAATCACGAGGGACGATGTAAACGAGATGATGATCGATTCACCGGATGGCACCTTTCTGGTACGCAATGCGTCTTCCAAGGGTGGCGAGTACACTCTAACGCTGCGTAAAGGCGGGACCAACAAGCTCATCAAGATCAGTCACCGAAATGGAAAATATGGATTTTCGGATCCCTATAACTTCCATTCGGTCATCGAGCTGGTTGACTACTATAGGAACTGCTCGCTCGCACAGTATAATTCGGTGCTGGATATTAAGTTGCTTTACCCGGTGTCGCGATTTCAACAGGTACCTTTCTATAACTTTCTGGTTCATGAAATAATTGTATTATGTTCATCCTTGAACTTTCTATCTTGTGTTTGTCTGAAAAATAGGATGACGAGATCGCAAATACGACCGACATGGCAAAAGTCAGACAGAAATATTTTGAGTTAGATAAAGATATAAATGATACAATCCGGCAGTATCAACATTGTTCGGATTTGTACAGCAAAACGGCCTACGAAGTTCAGTTGAAACGTAATGCATTGGAAGCTTTCACAGAGGCCATCAAGATGTTTGAGGAACAGATAAAGTTGCAAGAAAGGTGCAAGATAGAAGCCCAACCTCATGAGATTTCTACGTAAGTACTTTGTTGTTAATGCTCTCTAAAGATATTTACATTTCCAAATTTTTATGAAATTTTAGAAGTGAAATTTTCTATAGTGTTCCATTATGATTGCATTGATGATAATATTTCCGAGATCTTATATTGCAAATAATATAAAGTAGGGATTATTAATTATAATCAATTAATCTTGTTATTATATTTGTTATTTTTTTAATAACAGTTTAACAGACAATTCAGAATTGTTGAAGCGAAGACTGAAGGCCTTAGAAGATAGTAAAGAACAATTGGATGAGAGTCTGAAACAACAGATCGCCTACTATAGAACCCTTGAGAGAGAAATGTACAAGCTGAAGTCAGAGATTGGCGTACTTGTGCGGCAAAAAGATCGCCATTCTCAGTACGTATTCTTTTATTCTGTTGTCAAAAATTTCCTTTTATTTTTACATTGAAAAACTGATCCAATTCATTCGAACATTGCAGATGGTTAAAGAAGAATGAGATAAAGCAGAACAAAGAGGAGGTGGACTTTGCAGTTCATTCCGATGAGAAAACGTGGCTGTTTTTGAAAGGTTCTCGTTCTGATGCTGATCTTATTCTAAAGGGCCGGCCCGATGGTACCTTTCTTGTTCGTCGATCGAGAACTGGCCAGTACGCACTTTCTATAGTGTAAGTATCACCTATATTTTTACACAAGTATAATGTGTGAATTTAAATCAAGAATAAATGAAAGTATATAATTATAGATAATGCGCGAATTATAATAGTAGCTAATAGTAGGAGTAACCTAATGGTGTGAACATTTAAAACGAAAGTTAATCCTCTTAAGGCTTCCCTCAAGAATTTGAATAATCCAGTTTTAACGATCGTATTTCATTACATAACCGGAATGGCGGTTTGTGCCATATGTTATTCGAGAATCGTGATGTTACAGGTGCAACGATACGGTACAGCATTGCATAATATACGCTACCGAGCGCGGTTATGGTTTTGCCGAGCCATACAACATTCACGAGACCCTGAAACACCTAGTGCTGCACTATGCTCAGAATTCTTTGGAGGAACATAACGAGTGCCTGACGACCACTCTGGCCTATCCCGCGTTTGCGCCACCCGCAGCGCTAGCGCAACTACAGGCCCAGCAGAAGCAGTTGCAGATCCATATTCAGAATCAATCATCGTTCGCGCGACCGCCCCATGAGAATCAGCTCGTCATGCCGCATACATAATATTGGCCTGTCGAGCGTCGCGATCCGGATCCGCTCGAGTCTGAGTACGTTCACGCACGCGCGCACACCCACACGTGAGTTCTGCTGCTACAAGCATCATTCGCCGACGCGATCGGCAGATCGACTGTATCACGTGAGCCTTCCTTGACGAATTCGAACACACGTTTCGTTGCGAGATAAAACGCTCCTTCGTTCGGAACGTTTCCTAAAATCGCGTACAATAATTATGCGTATGTTTCACAGTGAGAGGAAATAGTCTCACGCGAAATATCGTGAAAGCACGCAATGTAATATCGGTTGCTTAATCATCATCGAATGGTAGGTAGGTCGTAAGATCTCCGAAAATACGGAGCACTTTGACGAAGTGTATAATAGCCGTAATAATCGTAAGAGATACTAGCGATAGAATTAGATATATATGCGTTATCGCGATACGATAATGATCGCTTCGAAGCAGAAGTTCCCAAACGGCGCGTCGTGCATCCTGATAAAATGCGATTTATATCCAGAAGAATATAGAAGCAAGAAACAGATGAAGTAAAATCTTGAAAAATAATTTTAAAAAAATTAAACTAATTTTTTATATTATCGATTGTTATAAATATTAAAATAAATGTTTAACTATTTTTTGATCGGTATGTAAAGGTGATGAATTTCGAAAACGTAGTTCTTAAATTTTCTTCTGAATTATCTGAATCTTTTTGTTTCGTAAATGTAACAAGAATGAGTAAGCGTGGGAAATGATTTGAAAATTGACTTATATTTTCTATATATATGATTAATAATGATTGGACATTTCGTATCTACGCTTTCGTCAACATTATTATGAGGATGAGATAGAAAGAAAATATCAGATTCGAAGAATTGTTAGATTCAGAATGTTTGGGAACCTCTCGACTAACAGGACCAACATTACCAACGACGGATGTCACCAGCTCTCCCTCAGGTCTCCCTCAGGGTTGCCACGACGCGGAGAGTCAAAGATCTGCGTCGACATTACGGCAGGATGGTGACGATACGTTTCTGCCGCTACCGAAATTTTGTTTTTCAAAACAGAAAGCGTTTTTTATCTTGACGCTTATAATTGCGCAGAATTGATCCGCTCGGAAATATCGGCATTATAAAAATATGCCGTCGGATCAGCGACCGGGATAGAGAGGTCCGCTTCGTTCGCATAGATTCCATTGTTCAGGTAATCAGGGTAGTCTCTTATAATCGTCTAACGTCTAATCCTTAATAGCCTGAATCCCCGGATTCTCTGATTAGCTCGTATCGAGCGGTCATTTGAAACTAACTTTTAGTTAGTAATTCGTTATTATTTAGTTACATTGGATGTACCTATGTAGTTTAAATCGTGCTATTTTTAAAAAAGACAGTTAAAATGCTATAAAAATAATTTATGAAAATATCTTTTGAATTGCTATGATGATTGTAGCTGAATAAATCATAGTCATTGATTGAATGTTTATGTTACAAGCAAAGCTTACTACGTTAATATATCTTACGAAGTGCCCATAAATGACACTCGACATAATTTTTCATGTAATAAGTTAATCTGGATCACGTGCTATTACTCATTATTTAATGTTTTTTTTTTGTAATGTAACGTATTTTGTTTCTTGCTATAAAGCTTATATTTAAATTTGGAAACTAAATTAATATCAATTTGTATCAATATCAATTAATAGGAATTGATGTTAAGGTCAGTTATACGAATCAAGCTTTGCATAATTTTATCGCGACCATATTGTATTGTAATACTATCATCTTAGGCTTTTAAGGGTTAAACGTGGTCGTTCAGAAGTCGAAAGGTGATCACTTCCTCGTTGCTCGAAATTTCTGATCGCTTGCAAAACGCCGTTCGCGACTTCAATGAAAGACGCGTGCTGCGATTCGCAAAATAAAGCGTCTTCAATTTTTTTTGCGATATTGCTGAATTATAATAGTGATATTAGAATGTAGTCGAACGAAATTCATGTAAAACCGCAAGGCGTCTTTATACCATTTTATAGTAACCGAAAAACTGCCCACGAAAATCCAGTGGATCCACTTTTTCCGAGAAATTTAAACTGTTTCTTGGAACATTATCAAATATCAACTTGTAACATGTCTGACTGTATTTCAAGTTTTCCTCAAGTTATTAAAAAGTGGACCCGCTCGCTTCTCGTGGCTAAATTTTCGAGTTTAATCGCGAAGATGGACCGGATATCTCCGTCATCCTTTCTTGATCGCGTTCCGCAGGATCGTGATGAAATTTCCTCTGTGAGAAAGAGAGAGAGAGAGAGAGCTTTTTTTATACACATTACATTTCAGACGTTATGCCAAGCAGATTTGTGAGAAAAGATATATATTATCTGTGATTTTTTTCGGATTGTCTATAAGCAAAGGGAGAAAAGTTATCGCGTTTGTCATTTTCGATCGCTTTTGTCCCTAATCTCTCATCCTTATCTTTCATTTCTTCTTTTTCTATACTTCTTCCGTGAACTTTCTTTTCCGCCAAAACTTCAATACACAACCAACGCGTCGAGTCGATCTTTCTCGCTATCGATTTTAGTTCTGAACAGTCTTATAGATAGTAGCGATGAGAGGAAAGATCAGGATGCAACAAGAATTGAAAATGTTAAATGAAGAAGTAAAATTGTCATTGATATAAAAAACAAGTACAAAAGAAAAATCACAATCGAATTAGTCTAATCATTAATCTGAAACAATACTAATCAGAGGACGCGTCTATTTATATTCTTTGTCGTTCTTTTATATATTAATAGAATATTTATCTTATTGTTATTCTCTTATATTTTCTTCCTCTTTCGCAATCGTTTCTTTGTTGCGTCCTGACCTGAACCACTGAAATGAAATTAGAAAACGCACGGAGGCGTGCCTGAGAAATCTCACATTTACAGAGCGGTCGGTAAATGGCGAGAGTGTATCGGGAACGCTTCACGTTCAATGAAACCGGTGGTTCCTCAAGTTTCTCTCACGCCGTCGTAAATAAAACACAAATCGATAGATTCGATCTGAACAAGTAAATCGGACAAGTATTGAAATCAGTAAGAATCAAGCTAATGATTCATCTTTCAATCTATTCACTATATCTGTAAGTAGGAATCGTTTATAGAAAATTAAAAGTGGCGGTAGTCGAGTTTGGAAAAATCTTGTCAAAATATTTTATTGAACATGTGCGAATAAGAGATCAATTTTTATCATGCGTTTAATACTAAATGCGGTCGTTCGATTATTCATTATTCACGTCGAAAATCGAACAACCATGTTCGGCACTAGGTGCATTGTTAAAAAAGAATATGAATGCAAAGTATTCTGTGTCGAAATGTGATTTGCACCAATTTTAGATTATGTGAGGTGTATGTGTAAGAATGTGAACGTGATGTTTCTCATCTCTGCTTTTATTTCTTCCGCGGCTATGTAATCTCCTATCGCGCGATAGGCGAACGAACGAGGAAGATCGGCGAGATCGTCTCTTTTTTCATTCTGAAGAAAAGCACAGAGCGGCGAGAAAAAAATGTCGCGCGAGAGAGAAACGTAGTCGGTGAACAAAAGGCTCTCGTTTGCTCATTTCGAACGTTTCGGATTACGTAGATTTAGGTAGTTTAAGATTTTTTATACAGACGAAGGAAGAGGTGATGGAGAGGAGCGGGAGAGGCATGTGGCCTGGCTCGCTACCACGTGATTGTCCAATTTGTACGTCCGTCGTCGTTCGCTTCGTCCTCCTCCGGTCTTTTGGATGTCCTCGCGTTTCTTGTCGTGCCATTCTCCTTTTCGAAGCCTTGTTCGCTTTTTATTATTTTATACCGTATTTTAAGCTCTCCGAAGAGCAGAATGACGACGACGTTTACCTGGTGTATTTCGAGAAAACGGATTCACGATCATATTAAATTTGTTGGGGTTTGAATGTTCGTGATTGTCGACAATTAATTTTTGCCGTGAAGCAAATACTTTGCGTCACCCACCCATCGAGCCTTTCGCATGATAGACAGCAGTGAGACAAAACCTATCGAATTCTATTAGAACGAGGCAATTCTTCGTGATTTTTCTCGTGGGAGTTAATCTTTCGGCGTAAGAGAAAGTACGGAGGAAACGAATCAATGACGTCGGACGACTCTTTTATAGTGTTAAAGACAGTTATACAAATATTATGACCGATGAGTACGACTCGCGATAGAATCTCTTGATGAGACAATCAATATTACATTTGTTATATTAGGTTAATAATAAATTATAATTAACTACGATTGTTAAATAACAACAAGATGTAATATATGTTGTGTATAGTTTTACATTTTTTTATGAAAAATGAATTCAAAGACAAAAATCCTTCGATTTTCTCAATTTTACGCAGGCAAAAACTACGTAAAATTTGGTATTTTATATCCGCACGCGAATGTACTCAATGTCTTTACGGAAATAAGTGTTTTACAAATCAGAAAGTCTTATATAATTATCAAATATGATTAGAATTAGAATTATGAAGAATGTTCATTACTAATGATAAGATAATTTTTTATCTTTTTGTTGCGTTAAGAACTTTAATTTGAATTTGAATATCTCTGTTTAATATCTGTGTGTTTTGTTATTCTTTTCTTAATTTATAATAATATTTAGTGAGTGTAAAGCAAATTCCGCTATGCGAGAAAAAATGCAAATTAATGAAAAAGAAAATGTATTATTCAATTGTATTTATCTCGAAATCTATCATGAGTCGCACTCGTTGCTTTCCCAGTGGGAAAGGATTATATTTATACAGGTGCGCGCGCGCGCTCAGCATACATACATATATACATACATACATACACACATAAATACATACATCATACACGAATTCACACATACACGGAATAGATTCACATGCGAGATAAATAAACGAAGCTATATAAATAAATATATATATATATACATATATATATAAATATTATATAGATGCGATATGTTGTGCGTCGAGAAATATATATGGTGCAGATATGAGAGAAGAGAGAAAAGAGAGGAAAACGAAAAAAATATATATATATTCGAGTATATATCTATATATATTTTTACTTACTTTCAAAGCAAACCTTTAATTGATTATTTATAATATATACATGCGTACATATATATACATACATATATATTATGTATACACATACATACATTATATAAACATGATGGAACGTCGTGTTGTATTAATCGCGTGTCTCTGCGAGTCTCGTCGATCGCGAGTCGCTTCGACGAAGCTCTCAGAGCGCGTCGAACAGGCACACACCCGTGCGATCCCGCGATCTTGATGAATCCCACGGGATTCGAAATGTCGATTGAATGTGTCGAGTCGAGTCAAGCCGAGTCACTGAGAGTAAGTGTAAGATCGAAAAATCGACACGACTCTTAATATGACTGTCTCGAGACTGCAAATTGGTTTTTTAATATTTTTGATAGATGTCGATTGTGCACGTAATAATTTTTATCCTAAATTGCGTACGATCGAGCTTGATGTATTTTTCTTAAATTTGCGCGAATTGCATGTTTTGCCTTATAGATATATATTTAGGGTAGAGAAATACGTAATATTTTTTTCATCAAATTTCGTGAAATATTCATAGTTCTTTCTGTGGCATGTATGCCGAAATTCATTTTATCTAAAACTTATTATTATTGATGTATACTATTTTTCTTCCCACCGAGATTGAGAGTCTTTCTTTTTAGCTCGCCTAACAAAAATTTCGCGGAACATTTTTTTATGAAACTCTTGTTTCTTCGTCACATTTCTTTTTCACGCGATATTGCTTTATCATTTATGTATGATTTTTATATATGCGAAGAAATCTTGCCCTTGCCATTCATTTCCTGCACAATATTAATTTACAACGAAGTTTTTTGACATCTATCACTGCTTTATGTATCTATTATCTATTTTAATCTATCACTGCTAATTCATTATAAAGTCTATTTTAGAATAGTTTCGATAAAAAATCTGAAGTTGCATTAAAAACGCAAAAAAATAAGAAACAAACAGTAAGTTTTTGAAATAAAAATTTTGCAAAAGAATTTTTCAGACAATTTTTCCATGTTTTGTTACTTAAATAGGGAATGTGTTACTGAAACTTAATATTGAAAGTTTTTTTATAAGATAAATAAATATTTACCTTATTTTAGTATCTAATTTGAATCATGAATAATAATAATAATAATAATTCAGATTTTTAATCGATACTATATATTAAAATAATTTCTTCGAACAACAGACATGTTTTAAATAAATTTTTAGTGATTTTCGGGATGCCGAATATTTTGAGAATGAAAATGACGTCGAAGCGTCTTGAAAGAATCTTGCCGTTATTTTATATCAAGAGTCGCGTGTGCGTGCCTATCTATGATCGTGAAAGGCGATTGGCGGCTCATAATCATAAGCGTTAAGTTACTATTGAAATCGATAAAATTTCGATAAGTTTTATCTTCTTGCCCTCATGGCCTCATCTTTTTTGTAATAGTTGTTATAAAAAAAGAAGAAAATTTAATTGAGAAATTAATTTTAGTTAATCCATTCTAAAATTCATTCTCTTAATGTTATATTTTGTATAAATAAGAAAAGATTTGCTATTCGGAATTCATACTAAATCATTATACTGAAATGTCAAAATCTGAATTCATCGAAACTGTAGAAATTTCGATCGCAATTTGCACTAATAAACTTCTGTGAAGAAAATGGATAAATCGAGGAAGAAGCACTCGCGTCACATGAAATATGTATTTCGATCGCGAAACAGGAGTGGTTCAAATATTTTCTTTTCATTATTTTTTTTTCTTGTGAAGCTGGACGCGGAGGCGGCGTCTTTCTGATATCCGAGCCGATTGCTCTTTTGTACAAAGAACGAAAAAAGAAAAGAAGACAAGAGTGAGAGTGGTACTTCAGTGAATGTTCTCGGCAGGACCGGTCCATGAAGAATGCTACGTCGAGGTAGCAATCGAGCCACGTGTCGAGCCATCCCGTGATGACATGATGCAATAATAGTTAGGTGCAGGAGGAAATCGCCTTGGCGAATAAAAATTTCAAGCTGATGAAACTTTTAACGACAATTAATTATATTTCGGAGGATCGCGAGATGCCCTCTTTGATAACAAACGCTAGAACAAGCGTTTTTTACCTGATCGTAACTTAACTATTATTGCACTATTATGTGCAACGTCGACTGTGCGATTTGTCGAGTCAACTTTGCGTAATATCGAATCGTTCTGCGTCGCGTTAATTTAAGGAAATTAATCGGCATTGCGTTCGATTTGAGGGAATTATCGACCATTATCGTCGAAGCGACGATTAATATGTGCGTGAGCCTGGTCTTTTGATACGTGCTCGGATATATGCTCGAGTAAATGAAAGGACGCGATCGTGAGAGAATCGCGATTTAATGAAGGAAGGGCTGGCCCTAAAAAAAAAAACGAGCGTGTGAGACCACGTTGTGATGGATCGTTTCGTCAACTAACACGCTTTCGTGTGTTGCATTGTGATCTCCGAGAAGTAACAGCGGTAGCGATAAAACGAGAGAGTTATAGAAAAGAAAAAAAAGTGAAAAGAGAGTGAATGGAAATATTTGCCTTAGCTTTTGTACAAGCAAACGAATATGAAGGATTGCCGATGAGGAGAAGAAAGGAGGCAGCCAGGATAGGCGCGAAACTTCACGATAAGCTGACATAATTGATTCTGACGATAAACAGTGATAAGAGTTGATGAATCTAATAAGCTGTTGTAGTGCGTGTGAGTGGGAGGGAGTGAGAGATAGCCTTGCAGCAAGAGAGACAGAAAAAGAAATACGATGATAATCAAATTGTGTATGAATCGTGCGTATTTGCATGTAACGGCACGATTATACGGTAAAATAAAATTCTCTCGCGCTCGCCGAGTGTCGAGACGAGAGCATTTCTTCAGAGAAGATTGATATAAAGATAAAAATTTAAAAAAAAAAAAGTAAAATACACAGAGCAACGTAGAAATTGAGTTAACCGATGCGAAGTCACTATAAATCGATGTAATCATTGTAGATCTAACACGATTGTAACCGCAAAATGAGCGCTAATCGAACGATTTGATATAATTAATTAATCATACGCCCTCATTATACAATTAGCGATTCATAATTAATATAACGTAATTAATTGATTATATAAAATCGCTCTCATCGATATTCGCCGTCTCCTCATGATCATCCGGTCGGATGATCTCGCGAGACCGATCGATCGGTAAACGTACGAAATGGGAAACAGGCGTTTGCTGCAAGGCGATGATAATCGATCATTAATCAATGATGCGAATGCCGGTGCGAAGGAGGATCATACCGAGTGCGAAAGTTGTATAAGGGAGCGCGGAGACGTGGGCGTAAAAGCAAAAGTTGTCGACATAATATTACATTATTAACGAATGTATGCTGTCCCACTGTGATAAAAACTTTTGTTTTTGCATGTAAAAATATATACTACTATTATATATTGCCATAAGCGCGCGCGCGCGCGCGCATGCAAGCGAGAGAGCGAGAGAAAGGGAGAGAGAGAGAGAGAGAGAGAGAGAGAGAGAGAGAGAGAGAGAGAGAGAGAGAGAGAGAGAGAGTGTATCACATTAATAGTACGCGTATACGGATATAAAATGTACAATGTATGTCGATACAGTATGTATCATCACAATCGATCCAGGTATCTATGTATCTATATGCGCGTACGTACACATATACACATATATACGTACATAATATACATATACAGACATATATACATACACACCTATACATACATGAATGTACAGAGACATAAGTATATTGTGATCGAGCGTGTACACGTAGACGGACACATGCGATTACAGAGAATGCGAACTTTTATTATTGCGCACGCCATGTATTCATACGCTGATGAAGGACAAATTATTATCGTAATTACCACTAATATAGTATCAAACACCGTTAGGTATCAAACTACCGTTCGCCGATCAGTGCAGCTGAGATTTCGCTCATTCTCGATCCTCGCGAAATTCGGCACACTCGGACAATCCTTTTGTATCTTTTATCACACATACACCCACTCATCCATCCATCCATCCATCCATCCATCCATCCATCCATCCTACCCACCCATTCATTCACTCGACATATACATAAACACACAGCCACACAACATACACACATTGATCCGCGAAGAAGTTTTGCGGTTTTAGCTTCGTTAGCAATAATTCGAGTGTCGTGACGCTGTTGATATCTTTCGGGAATTTATAATTTCCGCGTGCTTTTTTGTCGCGGAATATGATCGAGGATTAATCAAGGAGATCGAGCTGACGATTTGTTCTCTCATCCTAGGAAACGTCCATTCTTGCGATTACCTCGACTGTCAATTTTCACATTTTGTCCAGGATCTCGTAGTTAGAGACGATTCGTCCAGCCTCGCATCAAGATTTACGATTAAGGGAGATAAATAAATTGTGTGTAGCGCTTTCTCGCGAAGCGATCTTTCTCAACGAAAGTGTGACGAGTAGCGCGATTGTTAGCTCCGTCTCTTTGATTTCCACCGCAAGATTAATTTTTATCGAAAATCGTGGATCATTGTATCGTGCCACACAGAATATTCGGAAGAACGTAAGTGATGAGAGATCTCTACTCTTGAATTATGTACACGCTCTTTCTTTACTTATTCCACATCCTTAAGAATCTGAAGGAATTTTAAAGAAATGAAAAAATAATAATTATATATGTTACAGTTATTTTAATTATTTTACAAATTCGGAAAATTAAATCGGAGATTTTGAAAAATAGATGATTTGATAAGAGAGAAAAGCGATCAGGCCGATTTCTAATTTCGGAAATCGGTTATTCTTATTCTGTGAAATGAGTAAAGAAGAGAAGTGCGTAATTGAGCGAAATTTTTGTGAACTCGAGATTTCGAATGGATTTTCGATCGAAAGAAGCGTGCGAAGCTGATAACTGATGAGATTGCCCTTTGGGTGCGTGAAGCTGATGGTGTAATGAACGTTTACTCGCTTCTTTGCGCAACGTCATCTTCATATTGTATCTTTTATTTGCTAGAATTACCATGTAAAATCATTTATATTTGCATATGATTAATATGTTTTACTTATAAGCTTGCGGTGTTGCTTTATTATCCTTTTGAAAGCCACGCTATCATCCGTTAACTTTCCCTAGGAAAATCCTTCTGCGGCACAGAAATGAAACATCTTATGACGTTAATAATACACAGAAAAAGCCAAATGTTGATTACCTTTCAACATAATTATGAACGCAGCGACAGTATTTTTAGAAATGTACAAATTTCTTTTTCCTTCTCCGGATGTGGTAACGGATTACATTTGTGAATTTTCTCAAGTTGATCTTCGGACTCCGCGAACGAGTTTCTCTTGGAAATGGAAACGTGATTCATTGCTCGAAGGAGAGCGAACACGGGCACGTACTGGATAGTGGATTATGCGCAGCCGCGTATAATCAATAAATGCGAATTCTTTCGTTCGGATCGATCTATCGGGCGGTACACACTTGACGAGCTACAGCGCTCTCAGTGACTTGCGCTAATGCCAGAGGCAGCCGAGCATAGAGCCGCTTTGAAAGTGAGATTAATCGTGCGAGACCTATCCTTACGTCTGAGTCATAAGGATCTCGCAATTATAACGTCATAATTGAATTACAAGGAAGGCACCCGTTGGGAAGGCGGTGTACTCGGTATGTGGCCGAAAGCGTCATTCGTTCCGGCTTCGAAGTCGGTTCCGGGAGATGCTCTGCTGCTTTGTCAAATAGAATTCTGTTGAAGAAATTTCTTCGATAAATGCAACATAAATATAAGACTTAGTTTTCACATTTCATTTCTTTGAGAAATGAATTATCGACTAGATTTTCTCTCTACCAAAAATTAGATTTGCATCTCGATAATTAAGCCAACAAATTTATAAATAATAATAATTTGTAAATAATATATAAATGATATAATAATTTTAAAAAATATAGATAATTTTAATTCCTCTATTAAAAAAAACATCAAAGCAAGATTAATTTTTGCGTAATTTTTGGACGCTGAATATGAATTCGATTTTCAAATTGTTCCATCACTTTATAATTTTGAGAAATTGATAATTAAAGTTACTAAAAGGGACTATTTTTAGATACTTACAATTAGTTATATTGTAACTATTATGTATGAGACATGTTCGAGAAATTTTATTACAATCAAAATGAAGTACGTTTTTAGGATTTTTAGTTCTCAAAAGAAATTTTTAATTTTAGCTTGGTTAATGAGATATTCATAGTTTATACATCTATTGTGGAAAAATTATGAATTAGATCATTGACAATTTATCAAATAGCTTTCAATTATATTTATTTAAACTTGAGGGATTCTTAGACTCTAATTACGAATTCGAACGATATGTATAACGAGTAACTTTTTGCAATATTTCATTGTCAATTTTAATTACGACATCCGCGTATTGTACATCGATAAATCGTGACATCTCGTGAAAATATTAATTGACGTAATTTTGCGCGTAAGCAACAATAGCATTATAGTTTCTGATTCACACAAATTATTCGCATAAGTTGCTTCTCGGACGGAAGATGCGAGTCACATTCTTAGGAACGTAAAGCGTTCCTGATGGCTATATTTTTTTTTTGCATTACGTTACGCAACCGCGGAATTAAATAGAGACAATTCGCGCGCCGATCATTACGTATGGCGAGACGGATTTACCGTGTAGATTCTAATAGGCGAGACGACTGTAGACGCCACAAGATGCACCTCTGCAATTTGCCAATTATGACGGAATGAAAGGTGACATTAAAGATGACTTTAATTGAGCCTCGAATGTCAGTGTCGAGGGATTTTCCTGGCTCAACCCCGGGCATCCTTGCGCGATTACATATGAATGATTACGCAATCCGCCCGGAAATACTTGATTGGCGCTTAATTATTAGTATTGTTACCGCCGGTGGAATAACAGTCATGAAATTGTCGCAAAAAATTCTAACTTGATTTTTCGAGGTGTAAGTTCTGTTTGCGTACAGTCATAAAGTCGTTATGATGCGGTTATTTCAAGCAGAATAGCCTGATAAATAATATTTGTTCTTATGGTGCAGCGACGACGTTAATCGCTTTTATGCAGGTAGCGATAAAATACTCGTAATGCTCAGAAGAAACGTTCCAACTCATCGTTTAATAATGCGTCATTATCAAGCAGCGAGGAAATACAATCCTGCAGGGAATCGACAACTTTATAGGTGTAAATATTCTGTCCGACGTCAATTCGCAGATAAGTGACGACGAATAATTATTACTCGTGCCAGATTGCGATTCGTATTTCTTTTTTATACACGGCTTCCCACAATTGCGCCTCGCTGAAGGAAATAAATTAAATGTACGTACTGACAAAAGCTGCCTCAAAATTATGATCGCAGCATAATCATTGCAGTGATAATTTTACGACCGTGATAATATCTATGTCTAAGTTCTATTTATCTATTTTGTTATTCTATTTATTCTGTTTATACAAAGTAGGTCCGAACGTTTCCAGCCAGACTTTGAGATTTTATAAGAAATTTAATTCTCTACAACTTTTGTTACTTTTTGTTACTTTTGATGGATACTTTCCTTGATCCTTCAAATTGGATTTTGAAGGCACAGTCGATATTTTAAAATTGATCGCTTTCGCGATATTAGTTATTCTGCTTTCACATGGAACTGTAAAACACCGAGTGATAAAAAAATCGGATGATAGTTATTATTAAATTATTTTTAAATGTGTTTTAATTGTTTCCCTTAACTGTACATATCGAAAATTATATTATATTATGTGAAAATAAAACATGATGAAATCTATCAAAATTTTGTCCAAAAGGTGAAAAAGATAATAATTAGGTATTCATATAAGTGGCCAGAAAATTATTATCTCGAGCAACAACAAAAATAAAAGAATACATCAGTTTTTAAAAGATAGTTAAGTAATTATTTTCAGAACATGCACGTAATTATCATGTGTTCAAATCTTTATTGTTAAAATTAAAATACTCTCTGATCGAAACAGAAACGTAAAAATTTATTTAGAAATTTGCAATTATTAGCATAAATACACATAATTGTTGCTTAAGGCATATTCGCCTTTTTTAAGCAAGTTTTTTTTTTATTTTATGCCTTTAATGTAATAATCAAATTATAGCTGCATGCAAATTTACGAGTTTGCGTAAACAGAGCTGCTTATTAAGGACTGCGTTTGAAAGATTAATCCGCAATAATTCGGTTTGTCAATGCTTGTCGATGTTTTGCGGGACGATAAATCGTTAAACAGTGGGCTAAAATGGTACACAATGGTACCACTGGCGAAGGGTTTGGTTCGCATAATTACCAGTAACGATCGATACTCTCGGCTTATCACAGTTATTGTACACGATGCAACTTACGTGGCAATTTGTGGCCTTCCGTTTTGTTCGGAATAAAACAATCTGAACAACAAGCAACACAAAATAGTTACGTTATTACTAACGCAATATATCATGATTACGTCTTCCTTGTTTATACATGATGAACGATTACGTGGAATTAGAAATATTCACGTATCCGTTGGACAATTTACAAGCATGCTTATTCTTTTTTCACTTATTTTCTTTCCAGCCTTCGTGTTGCACAGATTGTTCTACTTATCATTATTATTAATGTATTTGTGTGCACGTGCTGAGAATAAACATAGTTACATATTCTTCTTTAAATATTTGAAAATATTTACATTTTTAAATAAATAAATTTAATAGAATATTCATCATGTTGTTTCTTATAATAAGTTCGAGTATCTTACATAATTACATATACAATATTTTAATGGGGCAAACAAAAATTATTTTTTAGTCTGCATCTAGATAAATTTTCAAATACTTTAACAAGTAAAATTGTTCCTTTCGTGTATTAATTATTTCTTTTTATTAAAGAACTCCACACTAGTTATAAATTTTGTCCCGATGAATTGAGTTATAATTCTCACATATATGATGTATATGTATATTATAATATGATGAACAAAAGATGTCATAGATACAAGGTTTAATAGCTAGTGGACAGTTTTTGAGTTAAACGTATTAAAGATGCTCTCTGAGTTTTTTTTTTCTTAGCGGTAAAATTTGCGTGCTTACTATTATAGTGGACAGATTTCAACCAGTGAATAAATTTCAATCAGTCCCGATGGTCCAACTTCTCAAGATCGTCTCATTTCGAAAGGTATTTTTTACCTGCTTTTACTTATCATCACGACAGAAAATTTGGGCGTCGCCGTGATTTACGGTGACTAATTCTGTTATTTCCATTGATAAATTCCGCACGATCCGAACTGAGAGAACGAAGGAATTCTCTCTTTCTCGTCGAGATGAATTCAGCGGAGGAGGACGAGAGAGAATGCGCCGGTTCTCGGCTGGGCGCTATTAGCTCGATTGATTATATAGCATCGACCGGATACCTCGGGGATACTTTGACGAGTGTGCGGTGCACTTATGTCAGATCTCGACCGAACTCGACCGACAATGAGAAAGCTGCCGCACTTGCGCGACTATAATATCACGGTATTTGCACACTCGGTGACCTTGAAGGTATCCGTACCGCCCTGCGAGCCTTGAACTTGTACGCTGAAGAATCCCGTGCGAACTTGGCGACGGTCCAAGTCGATCTACTTAGAGTCTGCATCCTCAACGTGGATTAGAGATTCGCACTTTTATTTTTTGTCTACAATATGATTTTATTAGAATCCGCACTTACTCGCACCTGGCGGATTCTGATAAAAATCTCACGTTTGACACGTTAAAAATAACCGTAGGACGCCTATCGTTACGATCGATCAAACATTCGGTGCGTTCACCGTCTCGATTGCCTATAGTAGTAAAAAAAAGATGATATATAACTTGATTAAAATCATCGTATTTCCTACAACTGTTTAAATTATGACTTTTATGACATATTTTAATTTTTAATAGCGACATTTTACCGTGTTGATAAAAATGAAAGGAAATTGACTTCCCTGAAGACTAATGTATTTTTATGGAAAAATGACATATTATTTATAATTTTAATAAGGGATGAAATTTACACAACTTTATATTAATGTTGCAGTGTTCAAATTTTGAAAATTCATGACATAGTTTTGAAGAATATATTATAATTGAAAGTATGACGTAGGAAAAAAGTCAAGTTATGTATATTCGTTTTAATTAAAACGATCCAATTTTTAGAAAGAATTTTTTAAACACTTTACTGAAAAATTGTGAGATATATATCACTTTTCTATCAACGCCGCAATTTATTCATGATTTTTCTGATTATTTTACTCGTAATGTTTTTCTTTCGAGTAGTTACTTCTACCGTGATAAAGAATTAGGGTCTGAGCACAGGAATTGTTGTAAAACTTATTTAAAGACTTAAGTTGTAGACGTAAGTAACGCATAAGCTTTGATGTATGACGTACGATTTATTGCCATCTTTTGGAGACATGGCAATAAGTTGTACGTCATACGTGAAAGCTTGTGCGTTACTTACGTCTACAATTTAAATCTAAGTAAGTGTTACGACAATTCTTGTGCTCAGACCCTTCCTGTGTAAGTCATTGAAAATACTAGGTCATCTAAGATATTTTCTGTAAGCATGTTTTGATGCCCATAAAACTAAAATGATTAAATGAACGATTCGAGTGCCTCGTGTATTGCATTTTCTTCCAAGAAAATCTGCTTTATTATTTGATCGTCACTCGCGGCGTCGTAATAAAAGTTCCGTTACTGCGATGTTCCGTGATGCACATTATTGTCCATCGTGCCTTGCGGGGATGAACATTATCGTTGCATTAACCAATGCGATATCAACGCTGTCCATTTCGATCAAGAGATATGTATCCGGTGCATCCTGTTATGCGCAA